ATAAATGCTTTCATATCAAACCACAATGCATCGATTCCTATGCGTTGTTCGGAACAATAACTATCTAAGTATGATCTGTTGGTCGACTGACGGAACCGGCATTTCCAGCTAAACCGATGATGGACAGGAAATCACCCCCAACTATGAATGTGCTCACTCTCACGGAACGACATCCTACAGTGACAACTGAAGCCAACTCTCCAAATGGTTTCCCATCGAAGTCCCAGTTTATGCTTGAGTAAATTGGACCCGTTTTCATTATGGTGCTGCATGTGACTACTGCAGTTTGCCATCGGAATATGTGATTCATTGTTTGCATTGCAAATGACCTATGAGTTTACCACCAAAACCAATTCACATAGTGCAACAATGATTGTTATTGTCCGAAGAACATTGGAGTGACAGAGGCACCATTGACTCGAAGGCAATTAACCCGTGAAGAAAACAAGGTATTCTCAAGGCATCTCAGTTTAGGTGATTGATGAACGTGCTGCTTTAAAGCAAGTGTTGCAACAATTTCCAAAACTGATGCAGGCCCTCAAGAGCGAATTGTCCAATTCATCAATTGGTTGGACTTCCGTGGCTGGTAGTTCACTGTCCACGGATCAGCACATCAGTGTTAGCATTACTCCGTTTCAGCTTGATATGCATGAACCAGCCAATTTGCATTGGTGGTGAAATGTGTGCGAAGATATTTCCTCTTTGAATCTCGCATCATACGATGATGCATGAAAAGTCCAGTCTCACTTCTGTTAACTCGAATTTGTCCTTCATGGTCACTACACGAATTCCATTCTACCAAAGAAGCCATCAAGCCTCAGCTTGGGAGAAACGGTCAAGAGTTTATCACAGAATTTTCACGACCAGTGTTTATTGTTCAATGCTCGAATCTGATATTTTTCGGCATTTCTAGTGAGGGTCTGACGACTTCATCACTCACACATGCTGGTGATAATTTTCACGAATGTAATCATTTTGAATAAAGATTTCTACTGAACGGAAAACTATAGAAATGGTTTTCCAACTGAAACCCTGGATTACCCTCAGATAATCGGAGCCGTTTTCATGTGATGCTACAGGTGACTGGTGCAGTTTGCAAACGGAGTGCACTATTCGATTTTTGCTTTGCACGGGACCGCATTTAAGCTTGTTTCAGAAGGCAATACACTATTCACATTGAACTACAAACACAACAGCAACAGCCATATTAAGTCGCGTGCCAGAAATGGAGCGTGATTTTGTGAAGTCGTGTGAAGTGTTTGACGAGCTGACCCCAGAAGAAAATGATAAGTTCGTTGCCTATGTTCAGTCAATAGTTGACGGGCAAGTCGAGTAGGTATGTGCCAAACTACGAAAACGCGTCAACCCTACCAAACCGAATGGTGAGTTCCCTTCAGATCCGAAACGAATGGTCCATAACTTTTCGTCTGTAAGTCTGGATACGACATTAGTTGAGATGCTGTCGTTAGGACCAAAATTTTGCTGTCCAACCAGTAAAACTAAAAAAATTGGACATGGAGGTTGAGTTTGAGAGTCTATTTGATCCACTATCCGGTCTCGTTCCGTCCTCCTCACAGGGGTTAGAGAAGCTCAAATCCACACTTGTGAACGCGTGTGATTAATATCGTGAAAATAAACCGTCGACGAAAGGATTATTACCGTAGGAGTATCTGAACTGTCTCAACGAATTGCAGGCTAACTGAGAAACAGTGTTGTTAAGACCAGATAAAAGAATCGGGTATTGTAATCCATAATAAATCGGATTATATAGAGAAGATGAAGACGACATTGAATGAGGTTGCCAAATTAACAAAGATTCCAACTGAAAAAGACAGGACGATTCCGATAGAAAAGTCAATTTTTACGAGAGTGAAATCATTGAAACAGAAAGGTATGATCGATGCGGTAACCTTTGAAAAGATACGATCAACTGGGACGACGATTCCTAGGCTGTACGGCCCACCGAAATAACGTTTTCCATGTGTGAATTGAATGTATCTTACACATTTATAACTTTCTGTGCTACATGAATAAATAGTGGTGTGGTTATGCGTTTATATGATCGATTACTTTATGAGCAAATTATTGAGAATTTCAAGACCACCGGATAATGCCTAGATTCATCTCACTTTTAGTAAGATCAAACAAAACTTGATTTCTATCCTGTTAATTCTCCGGAAGAAGAACAGCGGGTTCTCTGTTTCATCCAGGTCGACATTGGTCCTACAAGCTAAACTTCCTCATTTCTCTCGGACGATGAACAAACACAGAACCGCCTCCTTTCTTTCTGTTAACGGTTCCGCTCTTGTTGTCGAAAAACGACGTGTTGTGTCCCGTTATAGTGAACAGCGTGAAACACACTACATGTGGCTGAGGAAGTGTATCAGGAAATATCCATCGATTTGTGGTCTGGTAGACGTCCACCAATCATGACATCTGTCTCGTTGGCTACATGGAGTGGTGAACGTAGATTGACGAGATGGTTTTCATTTGTCGCCTACATTTGACAGTACCCTTAAAATTCATCATTGTTCAATCACGAACATCGGTTTTGTCTTCTGAGCAAAAAAGCTGCATGTGAAAGTTTGTGGATTAAAGGGGAAGTATGTGAGCACCCAAGAATGTTTCCAATGTGTACATGATCTAGAAGTCGAAGGAAGAACAAGCTCTCAACTATATCTCAGTTGTATGTTTTCTGTATGGGAACAAGACATCTCTGTGTGTTTTATGATAAATAGAGATTGAGCTACTGGTAGAGCACGACATCCTGAATGAAAAATATGCCCGACATTCAAGTTGATTTTTATAGAGTTGTAATCAGTAGACTATTCACACAATTCGAACCAATTTGAAATTTTGTCCTCGCAGTGGAGCTTTAGTTGACTTTGTCAAACAACGCATCCCCTTATCCGTTTTACATAAGCCCGCGAGATTTTGACCATGTCTACAAAACCATTTTTCCAGTGTGTATTTTGGCTCACCTACGGACAAAACAAAGGATTCGAAAATCTCTCGATTTGGAACCAGTGGGTGAAATGTATGGCGCATTATGATCACTCGTGCATTTTCTAGTGAATTGCAAAAGTAATTTTCACGAGCCAAATGGCGATCAACATTCCGGTCAATATAGCCATTGTTGGTTTCCAAAGTTCGTTACTATACTGGAGTGCAAATTCTCCGGAATTGCGATCTTTCATAAGAATAATCCAATACACTAAGCAAACAAGTGCCGTCGATAAGGGTTCCGATCTCAATTACTTGTCATACATGGCTGTTTAAATGAAACGCAGTTAAATTTTCACCGAGCTTCCCTCATCAACATTGTCAGCTCGAATTTGTGATGAGTTTAGATGCGATACAGACAAGTAGGTGACCACGGATGGACGAGCGCGATTTATGCATCAGGGTCGTACTAGGCTTCCGGTGTTGTTCCTTGAATATAACTGTCAAATCCGTTAGCATTTGAAATAGTAAGTGTAATGGAGCATCTTATATACGATACAAACCGAATCTCAATCGGTCTTGGAACAATGTTCAACTTCTGATAAGTCACTGTGGATTTCCGCTGGTTTCCCCACAATCTATGAGAATTTTGTGAAGCTTTATATCAACATTGAAGATCAGACATTGGAAAGATACTAGAATAAAATGATGCAGTGGTGGGAATTTCGAAGCAGTTTGTCGAAATGCTTGTCTCAAATTCTGGCGCGCTCAACGAATGCATTCAGACTCATGTTCGAGAATGTTTCTTCTGTTGTCTATCGACAAAAGCGACCAGAAAACGAAGTAACGGCAGATGTGAGACTTCAGCAATTCGCAGTTCCTACTCAAGAGCTGCATTCACAAACGTCAAGTGGTTCTACAGAATACTCTCAAGAAGTGAGAGCAGTGTATACTTGTTTTAGGTATGTGATCCGAGAAAGGATTGACAACAGACAGCCCACAGGTATTCGTACAATAGCCAACATTCCTGAGTTTTGTAAGCCCCCTGTGCATTGTTGTCTGGTAAATTTCTCATCACTGATTCTGATAATTAGCCTTAACTGTTATCTGTCTCCGTTTTCGAAGTATTTTGTTCATACTCCGAAACATTGCAACCATTCCCTAACAGTCGTTTGGGTTACGGGTGGCACCCTCCGAGTTTCACCGTAGTTTTCGTTCTTACTTCTTAAGAGTATTCTGTAGAACCACTTGACTTGTCCTAACCCCATAGAGACAGTTCTTTTTTCACAAAGGTCCAGACCCATCAAACTCCAGCAAGGAATTCATAACCTGCTGGAACGAATTGATTGACTGATAGAGAACCTGTGTTCTGCACGGTGAATCCGTATCCCGTATTACCAAATCGGCATAACACATAATGATCAAGTTCACCTGAACAATACAATTCAACGAATATTCTACTTTCTTTCATCACACAATTATCATGTAGGAAAACGCGACAGAGAAAATAAAAGAAACCAGACTGAGACTGGGACTGGTGAGAGGAACGAAGGTCAGACGGAAGTGATTGTAGGGTAAAATTTCTATGCACACGTTCATTAAAAACACTCAAAAAACAAATCGACTATCTTTACACAGTTCTTTTCGTTATCCCTTTTGATGCTTTTTCAAATTACATTTTCGAAAGTTCCGAAAATTTTCACAAATCGAATACGTTTGCCAACAATATAGAACTAACCTAACAGCTTTATCTCTGTAGATTCGAATTTCTGTTTTGACAACTGCTAACAACATTAGTAGTTTTATTTTGGCTTCAGCCAAGCTCTCTGCTCTGGGTTTCTATGGTGAGACCGCAAACCAGTCCGATTCACGCCGCAGCTGATGTCCGTCCACGCTCATTAGGTCGAACGTGGTTGGCAAGCCTTTGTGTCACTTTCGCATGCGTCATCCAATCATGTGTTTTATCGATTTGTACGCTCATCGCCTTGCTTTTTAGAAACCGCTCTGCAAAGAGATATTACACTGTTTTAGACCAGAGGCTTGTGTTCTTTCTCTGACTGGGTTGTCAAGTGAGCACCTACCGTTACTTCAGTATCCTCTTTGAAAAGATGACCAGCGATATCGGGATTTACTAATTGCATTGGATTGGCATAGGTTAGCGCCGTATTCTGGCATCTCTGGTAGTGATGTGCTAACTAATGTGACCTCACTCAAGATAAATTACCAGGGTCTGTTGGTCTAATCTGCAGTCTCACGAAGGGTTTACTTGAGGAAGTCTGTACTTTGTGCATTATTTGCCCAGTGATATGTCAAATTTTGGCGCATTATCTACCGCTCGCACGTTTGTAGTTTTTGATTATATACTTACAATGGTCTCTCCCAATGTGACAGTGTTCCGTTAATCAAATTCAGATGTAACAATCACTACTGTTTCGTTGATTACGGTGGTCCCAATTGCCACTCCTTGTCGGAAAGCCAAGTTGGCGATCAAAACAGTCATCGGTTTCATCAGATAGGTTGTAGTATACGGGTAATTGCATCAGTTCGTTGACTGAGGCGTGTAATTGCAAGAGGGCAACTAGATATGACGCGTAGTTTTATCTTTCTCCCCGTAGTCACTGACTGTGTGGACCTTGTCCAACCTACCGTGACAGTACGGTTTTCCCTAAATGACCAGCTGCACTGGTTCGGCTTCCACTACACTTCTTTCAAGTCATAGGCTGGTCACATAATAGCCCATACCCTATGAAATGTATTCGATAGGTTTTATTTGAGAAACAAACCAAACGGACATTAACAGTCCGACTACAAATTTGAATCCGTAAACAGTGCTTCTCCTATGGAGCCTATTTCGGACGACCATTCATCTGCTTCCTGTGTACACACAGTCCGGTCCCGAATGATTTCACTGCTGAGACCCTTGAAAGGTGAACAACCCCTTAGAGCAAACACAACGATCGTATCGCAAGCCCACAAACCGACAGAAATCGTCGCTTGCTCATGTGCTAGAGAAAGCTAGCAAGCCGTTCTGCAGTGACTGGTAGCAAATGTTGCACTCGTGTATGTACGTTTGAACACTGTTATCATAACATGTAGTTCACGGAAGGTCAGATGAATCATTTGACATTTGAAGCTGTTTGGATTTGCTTATTATTGGAAGGATGAGCGTCGTTAACCAAGGACATTTCAAAAGTAGATTTAAAAATCAATGATTAAGGCTGTTGGGAAGACGATCAATTAGTCACTTTTTAGATCCAAATTAGAAGTATGTCTCTTTTTGATTTTTATAGGCAGATTAGGTGATGTATTCTTGTAGACAGTTTGCCTTGGTGCATTCGCTTGGGAACCGCTTTCCCAATTTGACCAATGAGGTAGCAGTCATAATCATTTCATCGTTCATCCATTTTGAGTTTCACTTTTCAATTTGATAGAAATCTTATGGTTTCGATAGACTGGTGCATGGTTGTATTCCTTGTGGTTAGACGCATTTTGCCCCATTGCGATTATCTTCATTGTTCCATCAGTCATATCCTTTTGGTAATGATGTTCTTTGCCGACTTCTTTAAGTATTCTCTATTTTTATTGCAACTTCAAGTGTAACTCTATTGATTGCTCACGACCTTCCACGGCTGTTAGTAATCATCTGTTTTAGAATGCTAGTTCAACTTCTTTGAGTGTGTGTGAAATCGAAATTGGCTAGATCCCACGGTAGATCAACATTATACGGTATCCTGATGGTCAGCAGTTCGAATTAACCATGTGTCAGATACGATGAATGATAAGAACTTTCTCGTTCCCTAGTTAACTGGGTGTGAATCAGATTTATGCGTAAATCAGAATTTCCTCTCGAATTATTCCCACTTGGCTATGATTTTCGGCTTGAAACCTGTACGCCAGGTTGTACTCAATGCTACTGCCAAGACATGGAGTAATGTTTGGTCATTCCATTGACAGTTAAGTTGAGTAAAATCCAGTACTAGGATATTACATTTTGTCTGTCATCAATTTCCTTCATAGATGAGGAACAGTGGATGAAAATAGAGTAGATTGTTCATTAACTGAAAATGAAGTAAATAGAACATGAGTGGTATGAGGTACCAGTATTTTGCGGAATAGGTCCCAACACCGTTTTGTCTGATATATCAGGCAAAAATAGTAGTGCTGGCCTTTCCACAGAAACGTTGATTCTCCGGTTGAGGAGACAAATAGATCACTCAAGCTCGTTTCTCTAAGGCGCTCACTGAGAACAAACTGATATGTGAATGGGACAATGCGCAGCCAGTCTGATGTATGCATCCGAAGCTGAAGACAAATGGGTGCCAAGTCGCGTGAATACAATAGTTAGGAAACTGGCCGGAAGACGAAACGCTCATATTTCAGAACCCACAATACTGATTACCGTTTTCCACTTAAAACAACACGAATGCTCTTTCACTATTTTGTTCACTTCTTTCTATTATGTAATAGTAGCACATTATTCGGGAAGGGGTTTGTGGCCAATCAAGAGTTGCCCACTGAATTAGTGACCCTCTGTTGCTCGAGCATTCGTATCTAGGACAGAAGGTTCAGAAGACCGTAACATGATTAGCGCTTGATCACCGCCGGTCGACGATTTCTCGCAGGTCGAATGACAAACTGTTTAGTGGTTCAGTGAATTCTAGTTACCAGTCATATGAATCCATCAGAGATTAAACAGCTCAAATTTCGAATGAAATCGGATTAGAGCGGATAAAATGCGTGACCTGCCTTTATCTGACTTGGGTTTCATTGTTCGCAGTTTACGGTGATGACTCACTTTTCACGACTTTTTTGACAATATACTATACCGATTTGAAACTGTTAAACAATTAAAAGGTTTGTGGAAACTACCATATAATTATGATCTACTGTAATACTTCATTTTTGAAGAAACTTTTCTGATGATCAAAACAAGCTCTTTCTAGATGCCATTTAGGGCCGAAAACAATGAGAGACAACCCAAAAATGAATGGCAGACTTACGCGTGACCTTCTATTGTGAAGACAAAAATTCACATTCTTCCCCATATTCGGGCATATGATGTGTGCTCGTCAGGTGAGGCGTTTGAAAAGGATGGATACTATATAAGCAAGCCTCTTTGTGAATATTGTTTTCTGTCATCTATCAGAAATGTGTGAACGAATCATTGTCGTGTGCATTTTACTTTTCCTGGGTGATTTAGGTGAGTTTCACCGATTTTCTGATGACGAATTGTTCTTTGAACATTTACTCCTTGAAAGAGACCTCGAACAAATAAAGTATTTTATGTCCAAAGAGATAAGTCCTGTTGCCACAATGATTAGTTAATAATGGTTTTTAACATTGGTTTTGTTCGCTTCTCGCAGCGACCGTTCCCATGGCTGGCTGATTTTTGTGTGGGAGGGTAGTGGTTGAATTTTAGCCAAGAAGCAGCGAGTTCTGCCTGGAAGAGCAACACCGCCACAGTGAGTCAATGGATGCGCAAGCAGAGCCTATCTAGTATCGACGTCGGGGCGTGAGACAGTAGAATCATGAACGACAGGACAGCGGATCGATAGACTGAGAGATGAGTCCTGTCGAGTGATGTTTATTTGCTACACTAGCCAGTGAAAAGGCTTGGCCTCCCACACCAGACGGGCCAATGTGTTTTTGTGGAAGAACGAGTCACGAGGACGAACATCATGTGCTAAAGATTGTAGTTTATGCTTAAAATCTGTGATGGTTCGAAGGCAGAGGGATCTACTCAATAATTACCGGGTTTCATAAGAAAACAGAGCCAGGCGTTTTTCGGTCGTAAAAATATCTCATCATCAGTAGAACTGACATCATCAGTCACCCATGGAAAGGATAATCAGTATTCACAACAACTGAGGCTATAAACACTGCACGTCGACTCCCAAAACATCTCTAGAAACCATTCAAGCAGTATACGGGTGTCCTAACATTGTGAACAGTCATCATCAGTGCAGTGTACATCCACCGAGTCCTCACTTGGACGCATACTCAAGCTGCACGATTGTGAGTCACACACACGCATTGCTCACAGGCGTTCTGAGTTTGCGGTTTACTTTACGACAGAAATAACATACCGGTAATTAAACTCTCTGGGTTGTTTATAATCTAATGCATACATTTCCCAGAGGCTCCTGCTGAGAAGATCATCTGTATCGCTATACGAATGATGGGTTGTTGTCGTTCGAAACCAGTTTGAGAGGAAGCTAGGTTTGCCACACCATTCAGTCTTGACAAGGTTCATCCCGGATAGCCTGGTGAAACCGTGTGTGACTTACAATCATGAACACTTGGTTCGAGTTTCGGTCACGTCACAATGCGATTGCTTTACTCAGCTGATTCCGCGCAAGCCCGATGAAACAGGATCTGAACTGTGAACGCTTCCATGGTTCACCACGATGAATTGGGTGTTGATGTCGAGAGCATATTTACTACTCAAACATATAGATTCATTTGGCATAGTGGTTCAAAATGACGCGGTCAAAATCGTTTGAGAATGGCGCATCAGTATGTGACTATAGACCGAAATTAGATCAGACTTCGCCACCGCATTTCGGTTATTAGTCCCAGTGTCATTTCTGTCACAGAGTCATTTGATAACAAGCCATATCAAAACAAACATGGGCATATGACCGCATTTCCACGCTGTTCTAATCACGTCTACCACTTCATTCACCCTAGCATAACAGCATTGTGTGAGTAATAATTAATCAATTCTATCCAAAGTGCTGAAATAAGAATCTTGTTGCAGGCAGTCGTAGTTTTGCAGAAAAAAGTTCAGAAAATGTGTTCCATATGGTTCTTCACCTTGCAGCTCGTGCGCATTTCATGGTTCCGTCAAAGACAATACAAATCGGACCGAAAGAAAATCAGAAAACGCCTGCTTGGGGTAATTCATATTGCAGATATTTGAACCGTGTCCATTATTGATGTATTATTCCTTCATTTTTTGGTTTAATTTGATCTGTCACAGATACACGCATACACGTGTGCTCATGAGAGCATGGGTCCAAGGTAGAGCTCGATCGGAATGTCCGTGGAATAATGTGACACAAGTTACTTTTGTATGACATTTTTGTGAACTCTTTCATTTCCCCCGAGATCGCTCTTGACCGGCTGTTGACAGTAACATGAATAATAAATTACGTTGGGTGATGTTTATCAGGAGGTTATTGAAAAACACGTCATAGCCGATTTATTTGCATCGACGTATTTGTGCTCTGCCTACTGGTAGCATATTGGTTGCCGAAATTTAGTTAAAACGAGTACTTCTATGATGTCCGTCATCTCAGTATGTCACACTTTGTTTTCATACTAACTACTGAATTCTCGTGGCCAGGCTACATGATATATCCGCGGAAAAATATTCTTCTAGACAGAAATAGACATGACAGTATTTCGGCAATCTAAGAGGCACGTCCGCAGGGTTACGATGGAAGATGGGCGGCAGATTTATGAACGCCGCACAGACATTCAGACAAGCTTCTGTAGCTGCAGTCCCAGGTGAAAAGTAAAACCATTCTCAGGATGAAAAAGGCAAATGATTTAACTGTTTGTTGACCAATGCAGCAAAATAAATGCTCCATTGAATACTGAGTAATGATCGCCGTCGATCAAAACTCTGACTTATCGGGAAGAAACAAAGACAAGCATATTTTTGAGGAAAACCTGACATGAGTAAGAGACTTAGCTGAATTCCTAGACAGGCAAACCTCAGGAAGGCTACTTCACAATTGATATCGTCAACTATTTGGTCACAATGGCTTTGCGATTGTTCTCTTGTTTGTGTTAGCTACCAGCCTCTGGAGGGAAGGAAACCGTTGGTTTGGAAATGCTCAAAAGAATCCCGCAGAACAAGGGAAGTTGGCTGAAGCTGACGGTGAGTTATATTGGCAAAGACAGCAAAACATTTTGCACTACGTATATTTTCAATGTTTTGGACAGAACAACTAAGTTTCTAATTTTGAATTTGACGGACGCTGCCTAGAGCTCGCCAACACCCGTCAAACTTAGTGATAGACGATGTTCCATTACATTCCCAGTGCGAATGTCAAGGACGTGGTTGTAGTTGTTCTTGATAGTGCAGTTGGTCCTTATGGTTGTGGAGCCAGTATACTCTGTACTCCAAAAAAACATTTCAAAATATGGATTTCAAATGGGACAGACAACAGCCTGATAAATTGCGGTCGGAATTCCGAGACTCATCGTCTCGGCGGTTTCGTGTCGTTTGTTCCTTTCAAATGTCAGGTAAACTAGAAAGCAAACAGTGGGGCCCGAAAACAGATATTTCCTTGTGTAAAGTAACATCTGTGTTCACGGCTCACCACAACCAAAGGGCGAATAGCACTAGTACAGGATTCTGGTTTTCTAAATGACAAGACCCGCGATTTCCATGTCAATTTACGGTTTTGCAGTGTTTTCTCAATAAGAGCGTTTGCTGCTGCCCTGGCTTGTGTGCACGCATGAATTGAAAGTAAAACCATGAATGATGATGAACTCTTATAACAAAAATTAGTGTAATGAGACAAAAAATAGCTATTGCACGGAAACTGGATTGTGACCGTAGTTTGTCCTCGCACTGGTGCAACTAGTAACCTACAGTTTACTGAACTGCTTAAAAAAGGATAAACCAGAATCAGCGCAACTAAGCAATTTTGAATTACAGACCAACTGTTTACGGTATTGGGCTCTGATATTCATTCGGTCGAATAGGTTACAGTGAAATTAGTAAGGCTACTTCTTCCATATGTATAAGCACCTCCGATGATACCCGGATCGTGATCACTCCTAGGTTCTTCAGGTTCCACGTATTATTCATGTTCAAGTTCACAGTCATAGTTACCGGGGCCCGTTGGCTATGTTTTAATTCTTTCTAGTGATATAAAAGCATGTGATATGTAAAATTAAGTCATTGTGTTTTGATTGCTCTATTGATCAAGAAAGATTTTCGCTTCAAATTTGATGAAATACGCTAGTCGTGAGGGTGGTTGACGTCCCCGTGTACGTCTGTGCCTTGACGTATCATACATTTACGGTGATTTCATTTGTTTCTGATGAATGGTTTTAATAGAAGATAACTGCTCAATAGGGGGAGGATTTTTCATGTAGTGCTGCTCAAGAATAACAAAGTGACAATCATGTGTGGGAAGCCACATCAATAGTACTCTCTGAAGAATTAATTCCTAATCTGACGTCGATGAGCAATGCACGAGAGTCACTGTGAGCGAGGCAAGCACCATTGAATAAATTCTACTGTAAGCACTTCAGTTGTCCCATATTAGTATTACAAATGGTAATAACACAGATAAGCTTTTAGGGTTTGGTAATTTTGTTGTAAGAAGTAATGATAGTTGGTTGACTTTTCGGTGACCGCGAGTAATGGTCCTCAAGACCGGCTGATAATCTTGAAGTTCGTTGCCTGCGATAACCGAAACATCGACTCATCACCATAACGAAGCGTTAGCGAACAACGAACGCCTATTTATGAAATATCACGTGGCCGAACGATTTTTCGATACACTACGAACTGATTTCGACTCCCATACGTTGTTAGCACATTCTGGCGAACAATTTTTTCCAAAACCTTATGTCATTAAATTTATTATAACGTGAAAATCTAGGAGATATTGAAAGGACAAACAAGATCTATTCGGTATATGTATGTGTTTTTGTGGTCATACGCTATTGTTTGGTGGAGGGCGTTCGTGGATAGTTTTTGTGAACAGAGTTCCGGTGTTATTCCTGTGAATTCGGCACCAACTTGTGCGCGTATTCGGATCTGCTTCCATCGGTTTTGGAGGATCTGATAAAGTACTCGGAATGCTTGATAGTGATCCACCGAGTGGCTTGCGTCGACCGAATGATGGAGTGTAACACTGAAATTGTTCTTGACCCATCCTAACTAAGTCCACAGGGGTGGTGCTCTTTCTAGCCAAGAAACATTTTACCGATACCACAAACGTGTTGATCTACCGACACTTATTCATGCAACTGTTCTTCTTCCGTTTCTAGAAGAACCCGAACCGATTCATTCTCAGTTGGAAAGGATAGAGATGCAACGTACAATCTACACGAAAATCACAAACAATCACGTTCCTGTTCCACGACCAAGTATGCAACACTCTTCGCGTAATCGATGATTTCCTGTTTCAAAAGCATTATTTGGGATTGCATTTTTCCTGGAATTCATGTTGCTTTATGATGAAGCGCCGTGAAATATGCCTGGTCCATGAGATGTTCTTTGTGAGCCTAAAAAGCGAGATGTAGCATGATCAAAAAAGCAATCAAATAAAAGAATTTTCTTAGGAGAGGAAATATCAATAGAACGGGTGAGATGGCCACGTTTCCAACGAAGGAATTTCAAAAGGAACTGAATACTTGTATTTTATTTATTAACAGTTTTGCGATGAACATTGGGCAAAGTAAGATAGTGAGTAGGCCGGGCATGCTATCACCAATGGGGGTATTTTGAGCCAAAATAAGTAAGTATTTTATTGAGTTGTCAGTGAATGATTGTTCATTTGAAAAAATTCCATTGATTTTCGGCAAACAGATAGAGTTTCGAATACCGGACGTAATAATCTAGTAATGAAAAATTTGATAGAACAAATCCACTGGTTGGTTCTTGTTCGGAAAATGATGGAGATGGGGCCATTACCAGAGGAAGCCAATTCCTATCCTTGACTGAAATATTCAGATTTTGATATTTGCTCCGGCGAGTCAATAATCGATAATCAGAGAGCTCGTTTATATTATAGATTGATATCACCGAGGTGACTTCTGAGTCTTTTTACCGTACATACAAAATCCTGACACTCGAATCCAGGTTGTCCGGTTTTCTTCTAAATCACCGATTTTCGGTGTCGATGTGACATCCATTCCACTTTCAAACCAACAGTCGAATCAGCAAGCGTCCATCACCGATAACGCTCGCAAACGGGATGTGTACACTGACGATTCTGGATATCAATTGAATATCGAGTTCTACCACTTAATATGCTTGATGCTGCATGAGCTAGAAAAACTCGAACAATGGGTGAACCTCGTTTGGAATTGTTTTAACTGACTAAGGTTGTGTATTATTTAAAACACGTGATCGCGGAATCATCTACCTGTTTCACTGTCTGCACATATAACGACCCGGACTAAACGTCCTGATGTTGTCAATTTCTGACAGGGGACATTTTAACCTCATATCATGCAGTGCTATCCCGTGAGATAAGTTCACAGATCAGCGTGCCGGGAATCTTGTTTTGACCGGATTAGGTTGGGTGACTGTATCGAAAGTTTCGGTTTACCCTGAATCTCGAGTACCAAATGTACATCTTGTTGATTAGCACGGTAGTAGACTACACTGAACGATAGAGCCGTTGATGATTCCGTCGGACCAATAAAATGTGACTCTACGAGTGAATCAGTTATACAGTTCTGATAAATTATGCCTAGTTTGAATCCAGTATATTTCATAAGTACCGTTCGTCTAATGTTCTTCCTCTTCTCGGTTTTACACAGTTTGACATCTCCCGTGACACCATCATAGCCAAACACAGTTCCAGAACTAATAAACCCCTCAGGTACAACAGCTGAAAACCCCGAAGCTGATACATTTTCTCATTAAAAGACGGCATTCCTATATATTTCTGCAAACGAGTAACTCGATTTTACTCCTGCGAACTGGGAAGGAAACTTTAGAGGTTGAGAACTTAAAACTTGATACTGTTATGACTCCAGTAGATAAATTACCATCAAAACATCACAGTTTGTATGGATCAAAAGACGGGAGGTACACAATGCATACCCTTCACAGTTTTGCACTTGTTGAGAGGTGCATTGGCTGGCTTGACCAAAATAACGCAACTTGTACGCAACTCAGCTGCACAAGTAAGAGATAGATAGATAGATAGATAGATAGATAGATAGATAGATAGATAGATAGATAGATAGATAGATAGATAGATAGATAGATAGATAGATAGATAGATAGATAGATAGATAGATAGATAGATAGATAGATAGATAGATAGATAGATAGATAGATAGATAGATAGATAGATAGATAGATAGAGAGAGAGAGGGGGGAGAATGTGACTGTCGCATACAATCATACACACGTGCGGAAACAGTAATTAGGCTCAACACACCGAACTGCAATACAACCAACAGGATTGTGATACTTGTCCTGATAAAACTGAATTCGCAGCAAAATGAGACAATGGCATGTTGGTTCTTGATCCCATTGCTATTGTGTACATACATTCTGTGTAGAACAGTATTTCATCTAAATGAATTACCGGAATGTGGGTGTCTCCGTAGGTTTTTGAACTATTCGATTCCCTGCACGGAACACACAAACTGGCATGAACGTCCTATGTCACCTACACCCATGACTTCATGACCAGCTAGTGCAGAAACATTCGGGATCGTATTACCTGTCAGTGACAAAAAAAGCGCGATGAATTCATTTAGTTTACTTCCTGGAGTGCATCATTAGTACATTTAACTGGAGTGTGAAACACAATTTAGATTAGTATATATATATTGGTAGGCATACAAACTTACATCGTCACGTCTGAAACAAATCATAACTACCGGCTAAAAACATATTGATCAATACAATTTCCAATAACGTCCATCCATCTTAAGAGTGGCTTAAGATGCGGGAAACGGGTCGTAAATTTCCGAGCCCGTAATTCAAGAGTGATAATATCCTGTAGTATAGATGTGTTACAATTCGCTGGAAGTCAGTCTTTATAGCCTGGTGGTTAGGCACTCGGCTCATGATCGATCACTCTGTTTTCAAATCTCATTTGTAACTCGGTGAACGTGCACTGCTGACGGTTCCCAAGAAAGATGAAATAGCTGTACAGTGCATCCAAGATTTTCAATGATGAATTGTGTCTGTCGTGCATGATGAATCATATCACATAGAATGACTACTTTATCGTACACTATTAGCATATTGTCCTTCGCAATCGAATCTGAGCTGTTTGGGAACAGTCGCATAAATAAAGCGTGTAGACTGCACACAGTTTGGCTAGTCTGGGAAGTTATAACAGATGAGTACGTATCCAATTTTGCAAAGTATTCCAGCGCTTTCAGCGCATTATGTGACTTTTTATCGAGCAGGTAAGTAGTCTTCGCGGAATATCACTCGCTGTGACACGAATTGTATCACATATAAATGGTTAGATTGAGTTTCTTGGACAATTCCTTATCACGAGTCACGGTTTAATGTTCTTCTTAGACCTCTCCATAGATAGCATGGGGTCAGTCGATAACCAAAACTGTGTGATGCAATTTGAATTCCCCTGACGATTTCGAGACTCGATCACTTTGTGTGGGCGCACAAAACGTGTGAAGGAATGGGCAACCCCATCAGCTAGTCCTCGCCTATCCTAAATCGAGTGAAAGAGCAGAGCAACCGAAGCGGATTGAAGTAAATTGAACTAATTTTCCCGGTGTCTTAGTCCGCCAATGAACTGAGACGCAGTATTAGGTATTTGAGCTTCTTCTCAGTGCGGCACAAGCTTCAAAAATACTAACTATCTCTGACAAAATCAACGCTTCTTCAGCCCTTGGGGTGATGTTTACCTTCAAAATTTTACGAATTGTCACAATCGGTTGATTGTCAATGTAGGTTTTCAAGCTCCAGTTAGTTTAGTTACTCGAATTTGTTTCACGAAAATTCCATTGTTCAAAGATCCTCACAAAACTAACAATGAAAACATGAATTTACATCAAATGTTATATTTCAGACCTCTACTTACTAAACTGTAAGAGACCTAGGTATAGTAAATTCATTGCAGAGTACAGAATTGCCAGCTAAGGCATCGCCCGTATATCGACCAATTTGTTACCCGTGAAATTCTGGCAATTCTATTCCCCAAGCTTTGGTGGGTATGCGAAATCCGCAAAAAATAACACTGTTTAGTAGGAGATCCGAGTTGTTGTTTTGAAATCGGGAGTTGATCCGCGTGACGCAGCCTAACCTCGTACCTGCAAAATATGATGTCGAATTTCTGTCTAAGTTACTCTGAACGAAAATTATTGGCATTGGATTTGTTCATGGAAATGATCAACAGTTTGGCCAAACTTTGAGGTGGAACGTCTGCAGTTTTATATTTCTGAGTGCAGTACTTTATTGGACAGAAATGAGCCAATTAATTCAACTTTATTTTGTCTGTGAACTTAAAGTTAGTGAGGTAAATTTACTTACACAAATTAAACAGTTTGTTCAACACAAAATTCTGTAGTACATTCGAAGTCGGTTGAGGAGAACAATGAGGTGATGAAGACGGATATGGGAGACGGATCGACATGTGAGCACACCAAGACAGATTCTGGTAAGAATATGTCAATGTTGTTCACGAGGATGTTTCATTTTGAACCGCTAAAGACATGTTATGAAAGAGTTTGGACATGATAGAATAGTGTACCGATTATGCAAATCTTTAAGCCTAATCGACACTGTAATCTAGTCTTCATATGGGCTTTTTTATTACGGAGAACGTTTTAAGTGGCGGGCATGGAATATATTGCAATAGTGGGTTCTTTGTTTAATGGGTGAAGGTGAGTCTGCGAAAAAAGAAATGTTACTGGTTGATCAGTTCGGGACCACTTATTGTTGTGACTGTTGCTACTAGATGATACGCCATGTTTGAGAAGAAATGCATGTGTGTCTTCACGAGATTTGAGTTCAGCTTTTGTTATTCCAAGTTAATTTTTTCCACGAAATTCGGATGAAAAATGAGACAGTTCATTCACAATTTCACAAACGCTATCACTACCCACTAAACTCCCGAGAGTTTCAAATGAGATTATCACTTTTGAAATAAGATAGGATACAAACTTTCAGTAGCAAATTATTTTGTTAGATATATCTTGTCATTCGATTAGTAATTGGGACCTGCTTTCTTATCCTCGACAAACAGCTATTTCCTTTTCTGAGTTTTCTGCTTCGGCCATGAACTCCAAACTTCTACGCACTCAGCTATCTGTTCTCCACTGTGGTCACTTTCTGAGATCAACGCCTTCACGTGTTCCATACAGGA